ATCAACCAAACTACATATCATATTTCTGATGGAAAATATTGTAATTTCATAGTTGCGGATGTTAGATGTAAGAAAGGTTAAAGGTTAAAACCATTTTTTAAATAATTATTAAAAAAAGTGTAGAGTTTGGAGGTTTGGCAGGGTTGCAACTTAGTTAAGAGTTAATGTTAATGTTCCGTTAAAAATCATTCCTAACAACTTAAGTATTATCGGTTCTAAATTATGAGGGTGTTCTCGGGAACTAGCAAATTATTGATAGTTATTCATGTTAGGTCAACATAGTTGATCACTAATTAACCTGATTGCGCATTTCAAATGTTTGAATCCGACATTTTCAATTTTTTGTTTTATAGTAATTTATACTAGTTGGCATTCTTTATCTATAGTGGATTTTTTGTAAATTAATTAGATTCCACATTTCAATTGTTTGAATCCAGAATTTTTCGTTTTTTTATCTTACGACTTAGAAAACATTTACACTCCAATGCCCTTTTAGAAAAAGTAATATATTAGTATTTATTATGAAAAGTATTATTGATTATTTCTACACTATCCAGAGCCACTTTAGAAATATTTATAGCCTTATATTATGAAAATAATTTTACGTTAACAAGTGCGACTTAACAATTAGTATCCCAGTATTTATTATCTAAAGTATTGTTTGTTTCTACACTATCTAGTCCCATTTTAGGAATTTAATAACTCCCCCGTTTCATAAAAACGTACTTGAACATTTCCCACGCCACTTTAATGTTTACTTCTACATTATCCAGCGGCACTGTAAAATAAAATTTACCAATAACACATAAAAAAATTAAAACAAAAATATTTTTTTCATAATAAATATTAGGATATTAGCTTTAAGCAACATTGGCAAATTCTCTAGGCATGTATACAATGAAGGAAACAAAATTAGATTATTTTTGTTAATTTGAAGGTCAAACATTGTGAAACAGTGAAGTTAAACAGAAGCGATAATGATCTAAAAATGTATTTTATTTATAAGGTTAATGTACAATCTAAAAATTATTAGGTAACCAAAATAAATTGTTCTAAGAATAGAAAAAATGTTTCAGATTACACAATTTAAAAAATCAGCTGAAATACCTTTAACATTAAAGTTTATATCACTATTACAGCTATTAATTTTAAACTAAATTTTCACGCTTTGAATAATATTAGAAAAAATGTTAAGGTATAAAATATAAATATGTTGCTATCAGTTAAGTAAAATTATTTGAAAAGGAAAAAGATATATCAAAATTAAATTTTCCGCTAAAAAGTTAAATAAAAAATATACCTTTTATTCTAAAAATAACTATACTTTTTAACAGCGGACACCAGCGTGAAGGTTGCAACATTAGTCCACCAGGAGAGGAAATGGGGGAAAACAGGATTAAGGTTTATGGAAAAAATTTTAATGGGAGATTCTTCTTATTAAAAAAAAACGTTTTATAATTTAGTTGCTCTATGAAAAATATTAAATCTATGTATTTGATTGAAATATAAAAAATTAAAGTAACATAAAAATTAACGCCTTTTTAAATCAAATTTAATTAACATATAGAAATAAATAAATTTAAGCTTCTACAATTTTGGGGGATCTACTAACATACATCTTAGTTATTTTTCAGAGCGTTAAGAATAATTTATTTTATTTTGGTGACAGTTATAAAAAATTCTAAATTTCTGTAAAATATATGCTGCTATCAGCTAAGCAATTGTTTTATTATTTAGTTGTTTCATGAAATATATTAAATCTATGTATTTGATCCCCTTTAGTTCTTACTTCTGCAATAAAGTAATTGGGTAAAAAGTTTAGTATCTTATCAGCTCTAGATTTGGGGATGAAAGAAATTGGCATCTTTTTTAAATTACTCTTTTTTAATTAAATAAATAACAACTATTACATATTATTAAATGATATAATGGTAAAATCATTGAAAAAGTTTGATGTCACTATTGGAATCAATTAAATAGTGCCCCCACGGTAACGTTTCATACGTCCCAGGAATCAGGTATCTTTTATCATCCTCCGGACTGAGTGCAATTTTGTGCTGGACAATAGAGTGCACCTGATGTTTTTCGGAGCGGATTAGATTTTGGCTAACAGTTTTCTGCTGCAGCTATCTAAACATTTGACATAGTCGTCAAAGGTATTGTTGTAGCAAACAACGGAGGACTTAACCCCTTTGGCCTTTTTTAATACGCCTAAATTCCTTATCATTTCTAGGATTTCATACTCATCATAGCCCTCCTCCTGCATCTTGAACCTATTCTTTTGAACATTATCGCTTGTAGTCATCACCTTCGTGGAGTACAATTTAGACCTAAGCCCACATAGTCAGTCATTGGAACACCATTATTTTCATCCTTCATCATACCTAATACTTTTTTATTTACAAGAGGAATATTATAAATATTGTTGCTGGGGTAGTCGGATGTATCAAAATGGGTGTAACAATCCCGTTTTATAATCTCATATGGATCTTGATTTCGAATTTCGTAAATAAGACTATCTGTATCGGTATAGAGAACAGAGCCATTATCACCAAAAGCGCTAATCATATAGCCATAATGAAAATCATAGATCGTTGTCTTCGCAAGATCAAGGATAGCTTGACCAACATAGATAGGCTTGTTCAGATATACTTGTAGTTTACGTAATTCTACTGCAACTAAATTTTCGTTGAAGATGGCGCAGTTTTTGAATTCTGGTTTACTAATATATGCCTCATCACCATACCGTCCAGACCATTCTGTTAATAGCCTTATATTAACCCTCTTGCGAATATTTTCCATAGTTTTTCCTTTAAAAATATATTAAGCTTAGATAACAATTAGTATTGAGTATTAAGACTCACCAAAAACCGCGTTATTCATTAATTTAAAAAGGTTTTTTTCAAACTCGTTCTTTGCTTGTTTACGAAGCTCAGTATTTAAGTCTATGTATGACTTTAACCAGAACTCTGCTTAAATTTCAGCACTCTATGAATTTTCGACAACTTCAAACCGTGCGTCAAGGCTTGCTTTAAGGCGCGGTAGTGGATAACATTACTTCGTTTTAGGATGAAGGGTTGCCATAAGCTTGGTAGTCTCATTAACACTCTTTGGAGGTTTGTAACTCTTTGGGTTAATGTGTTCTGCACAAAAAGGTAAATCTTTATGACTATCATGTAGTACTTCCGGGTACTCTAAATCAACTTCTAAAATATATCCAAAAGGAGCATCATCAGGGATGGAAATTACATCGATGTTAGTATTATCCCATTCAAAACCCTCCATACGGAAGGTATTGTGACATTGCCCAACCATACTATGAAGAAGAAAATTAATGTAAATCCTAAATGGAAAATAGAAAAAACATACCTGATTATTAACGTCATAGTACATTAGGAATGTCTTCGGTTTAGAGGGATCATAGTTGTTGACATACATGTTGTTAGCGTGAGCTCGTCTTTTTGAGCAAACCTGACTAAGACCTCCTCGAATGCCTCGTTCAACAAACAGAAACATATCAACATCAGTTAATAGCTCCAAGTCCTGCTTAGTATGTTTCAACATAGCGTCCCAAGTAAAACCTGGAAGGGTGAAATAGTGGGCAGGATCTAGACCGTAAGTTTTATGACAGCTAGTACGAAATCGCTCAAAGACATCCGCCAACAGAAGAACGTCAGTCTTCATATAAAGATCAATATATTCACCAAAGTTTTTGCAATTGAACTTTTCCATACAAGTTGAGCCCTTAAATAAAGTCGTCGAGGGCATGGTTTATTATCCAGCTTGCTATAAAATTTATCGATCTCTGGTAGAGAGACATCATTAAAACGATCAAACGAATCAATATAATCATAAGGCATAATACCCTTTTTGTTAATAATTTAAACTGTTCTTCGGATAAATCAGGAAAATGACTCTTCAAATTAGGGAATTCGGGTAGATATGAACTTAATTTATCCAAAGAACTAGCCATAAAACGAAAACTATCTATGAATCGAAACTGAATAGGATACTCATCAATATGTTTGGTGAAAGAAATATACTTCTCTTTGGTATAGGTAACAAATCGATAGATCCCTTTATTCTTGTAGCTATATCTGTTAGAATAAAATGAGCATCATAACCGCTGAGATTATGGAAGACAACTGGTATTGTGTGACTATCTTTATAGTTAATATTACAGCCTTCATGTGATGCTCCACGATAATTATTGTTTGATAAATAATGTATGTGATCTCTAACCTTCTTATCTTCTGGAATAAAAGCCTGTTCACAGATGTGGCAATGTGTCGCCTTACGAAAGCTCATCTCTTGTTTAAACGTCATATCAATATCATATGGACACCAAAACACAGTTACCAGGTCTTCAGCCAAACTACTCATCTCATCTGCAAACCACGCCATACAGTCCTGCCCACGATAGCTCTTGTAAGAAGAGAGACTATTATCGTAACTACATTTCATATGGTATCCAACGGCAGCTGGAACATGATGTTGCGGCTTTTGGAGGTCATTGGTAGGTCTTAACACACTTTCCAGATCAGCATAAACTATGAATGAAGCCATTTCTTTATTTTTATAATTTTTATATTTCAACATATTTTTTCCTAGTTCCGGCATCCTAATTGCAGTTTCATTGACCTTCATACAATCCTCTATATGCTTATATAGCTTTTCTTCAGATCGAAAATAATGTAGACATCGATCACAAAAAAACTTGCGGCAATTTTCTTTACTCAACTGGCTTGAAAGTAGTCTGGAGAGGTTTTTGATCCATACATAATGATATGTTGAAGGAGCATCATCATATCGATCTTGGATTAGAAGAAGATTAATATGACGATCTGTTTTGTTTTTTGTAAGGTAATTCGGTAGAGTGATAAATGAATTTCTATTTTTTTGAAGAATGTAAACGTTTATAGATAAATTATTTTGTTTTTCAAAGTTAGGAATCTGCTTAGTAGCCATCGGGAACTGGATCCCTTTGAGCTTAAAAACATTTGAAAAGTGGGGTATGAAGAAACCCTATCAGTATTATGAACATTAGGATAGAGAGCAGACATAACAGCCCATGCAAAACAAGCCTGGTCATCGTTCTTAACGTTCACGCATGCTTTTCTATTCTTAATTTGCGGGGGTAAGTCAATGTATGAGGACCCAAGCTGAGGGGTGAATTTATTAATGTTCACTCCCAAGTTCATAATTTTTTTTAAAGCCCATCCACTTTGACGTTCCTGAAAATCTTCCAACTCAATCATGATAGGCTTAATCACCTTATTATCAAACCAAACATCAAGGTCTGTGTCTCTATAGATTGGAGAATTTGATGTTGTAAAGTACTTGAATTCATTAAGTACACTCTCTCCCTTTACAATTTCAAACTCTCCTGCAAAAACCACATTGACCTTTACAGCAGCATCTTTTTTAAGAACCGTCTGTATCCTACGTTTAAAAATGGCTTTTGCATCAATTAAGAAAGCTTTAGGATCTTTATGTTTTAAATTGGTGATCACTCCGCTTATAATTCTACTCTCGAACGCCGACTCTGATTCATCCCAGTGCACACGATTCCATGCCCTTTCAGGTTGTGATTTAAGCCCAGCCCCTTTCTTTTCCATAGATTTTATCTGAGTTCGTACTGTCTTAATATTATTTAAACAAGCCTGAAGATGTTGTTTTTCACCCATGGTTTTAGCTGTTTTCATGGCACTTTTGATCCTCCAAATCCCTTTCTGACACTCACGTATACCTTTTCGAGCTATTTCTTCATCATATCTAGGATTTAGTAATCCTAGAAAACTGGCGATGTAGCGAACTAGATTATTGAAAATGCTCATTATGACTGTAAGAGAATAACAAATGTTATGCCCTTTATTATTCAGTTACAAAGTATCTAAACTCAAACATAATTAAACAAAGACATCTTCCACCACTACTAAATTCTTTCATACCGATAAGTTTATATACCATTTCTTTTATACCACTTTTGTTCACTTAACAGTCATTTTAATATTCGGGTATCCAAGTTAAATTTCTCAAAATAATAGTGCATACAAGTAAAAAAATTAAAAAAATTAAAAAGTGAATAAATCCTCTAAAATTAGTATATATTTCGCAAGTATATTATGTATTAAATAACCAAATTGCGAAATAAAAACTCAAAATAAGCTATTTTTAAATATTGATAAAAAAATTAAATTTTTGAATATTTAAATTTTCAATATAAATTAAAATTAAAATTAAAGTAATGCAAACACTCACCTAAGCACACTAAGCACTTACGAAAAGAATAACTCGAAAGCGATATACATAACCCTTTTATACTTCTAAAAACCTATTTTTAAAAACCAATCTATTTTTGGAGTACTATTTTTAAAAATGCATATTTATAAAATTAGTCTAAAAATGAAATGTGTATTCCAGTTTATTTAAAAGTGTCTATTTTAAACCAAGATTTCTTAAAATAGATTTCTTAAAATAGATTTCTTAAAATAGATTTCTTAAAATAGATTTCTTAAAATAGATTTCTTAAAATAGATTTCTTAAAATAGATTTCTTAAAATAGATTTCTTAAAATAGATTTCTTAAAACAATAATGAATATGTGAGGTTGCGTGGAAATTGCGCGAAACGGGTCCTTGTGTGATTGGGTCATGTGGGTTGTGTGTGGTCGGTACATTACCTTGTCCGCGTGTGTACGGGCACGTGGGTTGTGTGTGGTCGGTGGCTGAACTTGTCCGCGTGTATACGGGCATGTGGGTCGTCCGTGACCTTGACCTTGACCTCAACCTTGACCTTGACCTGGCACTAAAAATAACTTTATTTTTTTTCCAAGGTTGAATATAAATAATTTTATTACATTCTTCTTTCCGAAAGTATAAAAGATTTATTTACACATCTGTCGGCTTAGTTTGTTCAAAACAGTAAACAGTGCTTTTATATTAGTGTTATTGTGTAGATGTGAGTAATTTGGAAAAATTCAAAATATAATTAATTTTTAGTGTTTATATTTGTCTTAAATTTATTACAAGTTTTTAAAATTTAAACTTAATTTTTTTATTTTTGAAAAATTGATATACTTTAAGTTTCGAGACAATATTTGTCCGATTTTTAAAAAAATAATTGCTACAAAATTTAATTAAAAATATATTATAAATTATGAAAATAGTTATTTATAAAATAAAAAAATTATAAAAAATAGCCATGTATATAAATATACATTCATAAAAATAGCTTTTTATAGAAATAATTTTAAAATAGAATGATCTAAAGACCTTGGTTTAAAATAGACACTTTTAAATAAACTGGAATACACATTTCATTTTTAGACTAATTTTATAAATATGCATTTTTAAAAATAGTACTCCAAAAATAGATTGGTTTTTAAAAATAGGTTTTTAGAAGTATAAAAGGGTTATGTATATCGCTTTCGAGTTATTCTTTTCGTAAGTGCTTAGTGTGCTTAGGTGAGTGTTTGCATTACTTTAATTTTAATTTTAATTTATATTGAAAATTTAAATATTCAAAAATTTAATTTTTTTTATCAATATTTAAAAATAGCTTATTTTGAGTTTTTATTTCGCAATTTGGTTATTTAATACATAATATACTTGCGAAATATATACTAATTTTAGAGGATTTATTCACTTTTTAATTTTTTTAATTTTTTTACTTGTATGCACTATTATTTTGAGAAATTTAACTTGGATACCCGAATATTAAAATGACTGTTAAGTGAACAAAAGTGGTATAAAAGAAATGGTATATAAACTTATCGGTATGAAAGAATTTAGTAGTGGTGGAAGATGTCTTTGTTTAATTATGTTTGAGTTTAGATACTTTGTAACTGAATAATAAAGGGCATAACATTTGTTATTCTCTTACAGTCATAATGAGCATTTTCAATAATCTAGTTCGCTACATCGCCAGTTTTCTAGGATTACTAAATCCTAGATATGATGAAGAAATAGCTCGAAAAGGTATACGTGAGTGTCAGAAAGGGATTTGGAGGATCAAAAGTGCCATGAAAACAGCTAAAACCATGGGTGAAAAACAACATCTTCAGGCTTGTTTAAATAATATTAAGACAGTACGAACTCAGATAAAATCTATGGAAAAGAAAGGGGCTGGGCTTAAATCACAACCTGAAAGGGCATGGAATCGTGTGCACTGGGATGAATCAGAGTCGGCGTTCGAGAGTAGAATTATAAGCGGAGTGATCACCAATTTAAAACATAAAGATCCTAAAGCTTTCTTAATTGATGCAAAAGCCATTTTTAAACGTAGGATACAGACGGTTCTTAAAAAAGATGCTGCTGTAAAGGTCAATGTGGTTTTTGCAGGAGAGTTTGAAATTGTAAAGGGAGAGAGTGTACTTAATGAATTCAAGTACTTTACAACATCAAATTCTCCAATCTATAGAGACACAGACCTTGATGTTTGGTTTGATAATAAGGTGATTAAGCCTATCATGATTGAGTTGGAAGATTTTCAGGAACGTCAAAGTGGATGGGCTTTAAAAAAAATTATGAACTTGGGAGTGAACATTAATAAATTCACCCCTCAGCTTGGGTCCTCATACATTGACTTACCCCCGCAAATTAAGAATAGAAAAGCATGCGTGAACGTTAAGAACGATGACCAGGCTTGTTTTGCATGGGCTGTTATGTCTGCTCTCTATCCTAATGTTCATAATACTGATAGGGTTTCTTCATACCCCCACTTTTCAAATGTTTTTAAGCTCAAAGGGATCCAGTTCCCGATGGCTACTAAGCAGATTCCTAACTTTGAAAAACAAAATAATTTATCTATAAACGTTTACATTCTTCAAAAAAATAGAAATTCATTTATCACTCTACCGAATTACCTTACAAAAAACAAAACAGATCGTCATATTAATCTTCTTCTAATCCAAGATCGATATGATGATGCTCCTTCAACATATCATTATGTATGGATCAAAAACCTCTCCAGACTACTTTCAAGCCAGTTGAGTAAAGAAAATTGCCGCAAGTTTTTTTGTGATCGATGTCTACATTATTTTCGATCTGAAGAAAAGCTATATAAGCATATAGAGGATTGTATGAAGGTCAATGAAACTGCAATTAGGATGCCGGAACTAGGAAAAAATATGTTGAAATATAAAAATTATAAAAATAAAGAAATGGCTTCATTCATAGTTTATGCTGATCTGGAAAGTGTGTTAAGACCTACCAATGACCTCCAAAAGCCGCAACATCATGTTCCAGCTGCCGTTGGATACCATATGAAATGTAGTTACGATAATAGTCTCTCTTCTTACAAGAGCTATCGTGGGCAGGACTGTATGGCGTGGTTTGCAGATGAGATGAGTAGTTTGGCTGAAGACCTGGTAACTGTGTTTTGGTGTCCATATGATATTGATATGACGTTTAAACAAGAGATGAGCTTTCGTAAGGCGACACATTGCCACATCTGTGAACAGGCTTTTATTCCAGAAGATAAGAAGGTTAGAGATCACATACATTATTTATCAAACAATAATTATCGTGGAGCATCACATGAAGGCTGTAATATTAACTATAAAGATAGTCACACAATACCAGTTGTCTTCCATAATCTCAGCGGTTATGATGCTCATTTTATTCTAACAGATATAGCTACAAGAATAAAGGGATCTATCGATTTGTTACCTATAACCAAAGAGAAGTATATTTCTTTCACCAAACATATTGATGAGTATCCTATTCAGTTTCGATTCATAGATAGTTTTCGTTTTATGGCTAGTTCTTTGGATAAATTAAGTTCATATCTACCCGAATTCCCTAATTTGAAGAGTCATTTTCCTGATTTATCCGAAGAACAGTTTAAATTATTAACCAAAAAGGGTATTATGCCTTATGATTATATTGATTCGTTTGATCGTTTTAATGATGTCTCTCTACCAGAGATCGATAAATTTTATAGCAAGCTGGATAATAAACCATGCCCTCGACGACTTTATTTAAGGGCTCAACTTGTATGGGAAAAGTTCAATTGCAAAAACTTTGGTGAATATATTGATCTTTATATGAAGACTGACGTTCTTCTGTTGGCGGATGTCTTTGAGCGATTTCGTACTAGCTGTCATAAAACTTACGGTCTAGATCCTGCCCACTATTTCACCCTTCCAGGTTTTACTTGGGACGCTATGTTGAAACATACTAAGCAGGACTTGGAGCTATTAACTGATGTTGATATGTTTCTGTTTGTTGAACGAGGCATTCGAGGAGGTCTTAGTCAGGTTTGCTCAAAAAGACGAGCTCACGCTAACAACATGTATGTCAACAACTATGATCCCTCTAAACCGAAGACATTCCTAATGTACTATGACGTTAATAATCAGGTATGTTTTTTCTATTTTCCATTTAGGATTTACATTAATTTTCTTCTTCATAGTATGGTTGGGCAATGTCACAATACCTTCCGTATGGAGGGTTTGAATGGGATAATACTAACATCGATGTAATTTCCATCCCTGATGATGCTCCTTTTGGATATATTTTAGAAGTTGATTTAGAGTACCCGGAAGTACTACATGATAGTCATAAAGATTTACCTTTTTGTGCAGAACACATTAACCCAAAGAGTTACAAACCTCCAAAGAGTGTTAATGAGACTACCAAGCTTATGGCAACCCTTCATCCTAAAACGAAGTATGTTATCCACTACCGCGCCTTAAAGCAAGCCTTGACGCACGGTTTGAAGTTGTCGAAAATTCATAGAGTGCTGAAATTTAAGCAGAGTTCTTGGTTAAAGTCATACATAGACTTAAATACTGAGCTTCGTAAACAAGCAAAGAACGAGTTTGAAAAAAACCT